GTAAATAAAATATATTTTTAAAATTGTGCATTTTCTATTAATTGCATTTATTATTCTTATACTGAAAGAGTATCAAGGTATCTATGACCTCCATAATAAATGAAGTATTTACGGACTTTTATATATATTAAGGAATTGAATCAATTTTTCACGAAGTTTAAGATCTCATCCCATTGAAAAAAAAGTTATTTAATAAATATTTTTTTACAATAAATGCTTCTAGTAATAAAACAAACGCGATATAGGTCATTGAAGAAAAATCCCTTCATTTGTACATTTTTCCCTTCTTGAAATTATTTCACATATTTCTTTTTTCACTAGCGAATTTCCGATTACTTTAAAATTTTAAAAATATCGATTTTTTCATTTGCAAGAAATTTTTACTTTAAAGCGTGATAACATTTTTGAATACTCCAATTTTTTTTTCTAATAAATAATATGTCTTTGTTAATTTCTAAAAAAAATTTTCATAAAAAAGTTTACATTATTCTTTTATTAAGATATATTTAACAGAGAAAATCACTAAATTAAAACAGGTTATGTTTTCTTACAATAAAAGTTAAATAGAATTAATTCCTTAAAATAGCGTTCCAATAAAACATGGTATTGAAATGTTACGTTATTTCTTGTGATTGGTTCAATAATAAATTATTTTTATTTCTTCACAAACACAATTCTTGTAAAAAAAAAATTAAATCTGTTATATCAAAAAACTAGATCGTTTTATAGAATATAAATTATTGCGCTTAATAAAATATAAATACAGTTTATTTGTAACGTGATCCTAAGAATAAAAAGGTTATTTTCTTTTTTAATTCTCTACTAAAATGAATTAATGAGTTATTTTTGTTCATCATGGCTAGTCGAGGAGGAGAAAAAAAATATCGAATTTCACTGTTTAGGTTAATGTAATATTGTTCTCCCACCACATTTACTCGTAATCCATCGCCAATTCCGCTTGCAATCGCCTAGTTTATAATCTACGGTATGTTTTGTCAATTCGCGTCCCGTAAAGACTACCCTACGTGTACAAAAACTCATGCACACTTATGGGTCTCAAATTAAGGTTTAAAAAAAACATAAACGACAATAGAATCAATAAAATATAAGCACAGGAAGGCAGATGTAATAGACATCAAAACAGGTTTAATTGGAAACTGAAACTTAAAGGTGGTTCTTATGATCGTATTTCAAATTCTTCTTCCTGTCAATCAAACCTGTCTTGTTGCTTATTACATCAATCTGTCTTGTTTATTACATCAACCTGTCTTGCTGTGTTTTCGAAAATTACGATAGAGTTTTGTTTTCTCAATTAAATATTAAATGTGTATACTTTTCAGTTTACATTTTGAATAAGGATTAAAAAAAACTATTAAAAGCGGCCTTTACAGAACACCCTGTTTACTTCTTTTTAATTTTGTTTTGAAATGATTTTCTATTTTAATTCCAGTGGTTACATATTCACAAGCCCAAGAACATTAGTTATAGAATCAGATAATGAACTTCATTTGCGGCGTTTTGGAAAATTGGACGCTGGTGTTCTGAAAGTTCAAGTGACTTACTCAGATTATTCTTCACAAAATGATACACTTGCAGCTGAAAAAGAATTTGAAATTCCTGCAGGTAAATATCTTATTTTATGAAATAAAATTTTAAATAATCTTAATACATTTAAAACTCGTTCTTCATCTTAAAGAAGGAAAAAAAAATTTTTTTTTGATTAGTCATTGTTAAAAGAATGTTAGAAGAAGGATTTGCAAATTCATAAATATGTACCGCGAAAGTAGAGGAAAAATAAGTCCCTTACCCCACTTTTTAGATGAGTTCCATACCCCACCTTGTTTAACATGGATGAGTGTCCCTCATTTCAAAGTGGAGCGGTGGACTTATTGTTCCTCTACTCGTGAAACCAACATTTTTGGTATTTAAATAATATACATCTGTGTCGCTTCTTAAAATGAAACCATGCATTTTGCATTTTAGTTTTTAACTGATTTCACTTAAAGGATTAATTTTCAATGACGAAATTAAAATAATTTATAAATAATATTTTTCTCACTTTGTTTTTTTAAAATAGTGTCCCTGACACTTTTGTTCGAGTTTTACTTTTTTTCTAAGGATTGAAAACAAAAATGTAGTTATGAAACTGTTTCTTAGCTCCTCGAATTACAAAAGGCACGTTAAAAATTGATTTCAGAAATTTGGACCATCAAAACCTTGTATTTTTAGGACGCTAAGAGTAGTATTCAATTGTTTTGCAACTTGTATATAAGTTTTATTTAATTTTTATATATGTTTTGCTTGCGGCAAAGGTAACAAAAATTTTTTTTTGAAATTTCAAATGAAAATTAAAATTTATGTGTGAATTTGTACTGTTAAAGTATAGTATAGATAATACGGTTTAACTCTTTACTGTTCCGAAATTCCTGTGTTGCTATAAAATATGGATATATGATTTATATGCTTGAAAAATACTCTCTACTGTTCCGAGTTTTCTAGGTCAGTTCACACTGTGGATGTATGGTTTAGATCAGTGTTCCCTTGTCCCCGGTCCGTGGAACCCGGTGCTGGTCCGTGGATCAAATGATACCGGGCAGCCCATTTCATTGAAACTGAATTTAAATTCCTAGGTACCCCTAATTAAAAATATCTGTGTTCCATTAAAAATTTTAATTTTTTTAATGTTTGTAATTTATCATTGTCTCCGATTACCCCCAGATGGAACCGTCTCATTGCAAAGAAACAAGCTCAGGGTTCTCATAGTTTTAACGTTCTAGTTAGTTAAAATGTTAAATCACCTTAGGTTTGTTTTTTTGGTATAATTGTATTTTACTTTGAAGGCATGTTTAAATACAATTAAATTAAAATTAATAAATCAGAATAATCTAAAATATAAACAATCAACGCCCCCCCCCCAGCGGGCTGGTAAAATTATCAAACGTTGACAGGTTCACGGTGATTAACTGGTTTAGAGAATTACGTTGTCTTATATAATTTATTTAATTTTAAATAACATAAATATATAGTACTTTAAACTTGTTGGATATAATATTGTATAATTTGTTATAATTCAAAACCAATAATGAAAAAAGTATGTCATTGATTATTTATTAGAAAGGAATTAAAAATGAAAATGATCATAATTTACAGGTGAAACAGATTCTTTTTTAAAATTACAACTGAGCAAATTCGAAAATTATGTTTACAATGGAAGGTTGATTATTGAAGGAACTTTCGGCGAATACAAAATTTCTGGAAATGATTCAGTATATTTTTCAACACCTAAAACTGAGATTACAGTTATTCAAACTGATAAGCCCCTCTACAAACCTGGACAAACAGGTAAGTGATTCTAATTTGTTTTATTTTCATTAAATACAATAATCATCAAATATAATTTGCATCAAATCAAATACAATTATAGTTTTATCATAAATTATCAATAAAAAATTCATTTTTAAAGACGTTTAATTTTTTAATGAAAGCTATTTTAACATGAACATGATTTAACACATTATTATGAAACAGACTTTTCTTTATGTTTGAAAACTATACTATATTCGCTTTAAGAAATTTGGATTTTTTAATTTCATTAGAAATACGTTAAGTATATTAGTCTTGCGTCTAGCGATATAAGAACATTTGAAAGCAATAAAACGATGTTTTTGAAACTTTTTTAACCTTGGCACTTCCGGTTCGCGATCTAAATCACGCTTACCCACTAAAATATTGGGGTCACAAAAATGGCGAAATTCATTCCTTTTAAGAAAAACACTTTTTGAGAGAAATTGTTATAAAATAGATTTGAAACAACTCGTTTTATATTTAATTACTAAACTGATATTTCTTTTATCAAATCACGGGGAAAATCACGAGATTCGAAAAACACTTGTTTTAGAAAACATTTTAAAGCACAGCTTGACTTTTACATAATTTTTTTTAGTAAATATAATAAATGAAAAGTACAAAATAAATAACCTGCGCTTTCAAGTCCCCGGATCTACATTTTCTGTATCTGATGAGCAGCATCGTAATTTGCTCGTTTATTGGATGTTACTGTATTTACTATGCTCGCTGATAGTACACCTTTTTTTTATTTTGAAGCTCAAAAATATATAACTTATACATCTTATTAAACTTTCATTTTAAAAGCATTTCATTCAATTTGAATGCGTCAAGATTCAATTTACATTCACCCCAATGCAACTTGGAAAATACATTTGAAAAAGTAATTTAAAGAACTTTACTGAATGCACGATTAAAACCTTAAATCTCTTAGTCTTTTACTGTAATATAAGTCTTGTACTCTTCCGTCTTTTTCTCTAATATAATTTCAAAGAATGTATAAAACCAAATGTAAAAAAGAAGAATATGTTGGAAAAAACATGGTGACAAAATAAGTAGAAATGAGAGTAGTATATCAAAGTAAAAAAAAAAAAAATAGGTTGAATAAATGACTTACTCATTTCGGGCTAATCATCTTTAATAAAAGGCATCCCTCTTTTGAGTTAGTGATAAAGCAACATTAAAACTTATATATAAATATTGTTCTATGCTTAAATTATTGCTAAGCTTGTTAATAGCTCTAAATTTTTGTTATATGTGTAAATTTATCAGCGATATATTGAGCATACTACCACTTACGAGAACTACCGAGTAATCAATAATTATCAACGACGATATTAAAGCGATCATTTTAGAAAACTATAAATATATAACTCAAAACATCTCTGATTATACAAATGTAACACCTAACTGAACGAAAAATAACAAATGTATTTGAATAGCACATATTCAGTAATTGTTCATACTTAGCTTTTTTTAATGAAACATACTATGTACTACGAATCTTTTTGCTTTAAAAAGCGAAACAATTTGTACTTGTAGTCACTCGTATTAAAGCTAAAGTTTGTAGCTGCGTAAGATTAGAAGTTAAATTTTCGATAATCTGTTTAGAAATAAACCATATAAGACTTCAAAAGCACGTTTTATATGATATATGATTAAGCACTGCTGGCAGATACTCTTGGTTATTATTATTCTGGGTGATATTCTGACATATTGGTGGGAATTCGTTTTCTTTTCATACCAGAAAATTTTAAATAACTATAAAGTTCTTGAAGTGATTATATTTCTGCACTTTTAAATTGTTTTATATATACATAAATATTTTTCTGGTATTTTGTTAGATTGTTTTAATAAAGTGTGTTTCTTTTGCAGTTAAATTCCGAGTGTTGTTGCTACAAAAGGATTTAAAACCCTTTGGAAATGAAAAGAATGTAAGAAACTTTAAAACATATTTTATTTACATTTTTATCATGAAAACATAAACAATGAAGAAGGATTCAAATTAATACAAATATACCGAAACAGTATTTTAGCAGATTAGTACATTCTTTAACTTCTTTTCACTTTTCAATTAACTTCAAAAAACTGTAAACGAGAACCAGAAAGAATTACATCCTTATTCTTACTGAAATAACAAAGAACAAAATTGAAACTTTTAAGCTTAACTTTATATAAAAGTAAACAAACTCGTGATTTTTGTCTTATAAATTATATGACACTATGCTAATCATTTAACCATACTAATAATAAGTAAAATAGTTTATAAATGTAAACAAATAAAATCCAACAGACACACTTTGCATACTGTTCGTGCAGATTTCTTGGAAACACTTAGAGGCATGAAATAAATAATGTTATTTTCAGAAAGTTAAACCTCACAATTCATTTAAACATTTTGATTTAAAAAAAAATAAGTATCAAATAACAATATCTAAGATATATAACAACAAAAACAATAACAATATTTTATAACAATAATAATATTTGGTCAATATATAGGAATATAATGACCAAATAGTTACTAAAATGGCCGGGATAGCCTGGTTGGGAGGGTGCTGGACTCATGTTCGTAGGAACGGGAGTTAGACTTCTGCGGATTGAAAACTCCCCGAGTAGTAAATGGTGACTGGTGCACATTAAATCTACCAGGTCAGAAAGTGTTCTATGTTCCCGTAACAAATTATACCTCTGGAGGTACTGAATTGGAGATTGATCAAAATAACGATCTGTGGATGAATGAATGGATATATGAATGGTTCCACCCTATAAGCGGGTGAGACGTATGAGTCTGGCTGAAGTCTAATTCTTGGCCATAGATGGCCCCACTTCCTTTCCTTAATTGCCTACGACAACCGTCACTGAAATGATATAAAAAATAAAGATTATGAAATAGTCGATATTTTGACTGAATTTCTTACTTTTCCCCCATCAAAGTGTAAAAATTAATAAGGAAGTAAAAAATAATTGAAATACAAAAAATAATTTGAATATAGCTACAATTAGAACTACAATTAGCTACAATTAGCTACAAATTAGCTACAATTAGCTACAAATAGCTACAAATAGATAATAATTTGAATATAGCTGATGAAAGAAATTACCCTTGAAGTCCGAGAGTGATTAAAACGTCTGAATTTTGAGGAATATGCAATTTTCAAGTGACAAAAAAGAGTAAACTAAAGAGGGGGTTAGTCAAAAGGCTTCTACTCAAAGGTTAGCAAAGTTAACAAAAAATTATAATAAAAATTATCAATTCAGACAAAATGGTAAAATTTTGAAATTTTTTTTGTCGAACTTTACCACATAACTTTGAAAGATTCGGCCCAAATTTTATGGAAATTAATTTTCTGCCAAATTGGTAAAAAAATAAATAAATTATAATTCAAAACGTTCTGATTATAAGTTCTCATTGACACTAAGTCCAAAAGTTGATAGTTTCCGAGATACAAAGCAACAAACCATGAATAGTTATTTTAGATTCCCTTCTTCCGTCGCAACATTAGCATTGACCAAAGAATTCGAATAAAAAATAGCTAATAATGAACTTTCAATTAAGAATTAAGTAATGAGAAAGATAGAAGCAAGCCAGAAAGCCCAACGCTAAATGAGAAGCTAGCATTCACCTAAGCAAATAGTGCGTGCTTCAAGCTCCTTTCACCAGTGATTGTTGACTATTATGTTTCAAGGAAACTATCCATTTTTGGACTATTTTTGGAACTATCCATTTTTATCCCGGAAACTATCCATTTTTGGACTTAGTGTCAATAAGAATTTTTAATCAAAATGTTTTGAACTATAATATGCTAAATTTTCAGCCAGTTTGACCGAGAATTAATTTCCATAAGATTTAAGCGGGATTTGTCACGCTTTCAATTTAATATTTTATTTTTGGATTTGTATGTAAATGGGTTAGTTTTAGTTATAATGGCTGAAGAAAATTCGAGGCAAAGCTTAGATGCTATGAAAGAATGCTTTCTGATTCGAATCAGGTCTCAAGCTGGTGATTCGAATATACCGAATCAATTCAATGATTCGGAATCCTCGAATCAGTATTCAACTCTAGCTAGATTTTTTGCTTCGCGTTCACATATGCCCATACTGCATGCTTCAAGCATTTTTCACCAGTAATCATTGGCTGTACCTCTTATGTTTAAAGCTCTGTATCTCGGAAACTTCATTTTTCAATGAAAACTTAGGATCAAAATGTTTTGAACTATAATCTATTAAATTTTCAGCCAATTTTATTAAGAATTTCCATAAGATTTGTGCGGGGTCCTTTACACTTTCAATTAATTTTTGATTTGAATGTGAATGGGTTAGTTTTTTTTTCTTTTAAAAAAATAGTTGAGGAGAATTCGAGAAAGTATATCTTAAAAACTCTGTAAGAAGGCTTCTTGCCTGATACCATGTTTCATTGTTCTATTGATCGTTACCCTAACTGCAATTTTTTTCTTATTTAGAATATCGAAATTCACGTAGAAGACCCAAAAGCTACCAGGTTATTTCAGTTTAAGGATATTAACCTTGGAAGTGGTGAGCATATTTTTGGATTATTGTTAATATATTTTTACTATAAGATATTTCGAATTCTGTGTAAAGAATATGAAATATCTTTCGTTTTAATACTTTTCACAATGTTAAAATGAAACATTAAAAATTCATTCAAGGCAGCGAAGCTAAAAGTTGAAGACTGTTTAACTTTTTAAGACTTGCTTTATGTGTCTCAAAATAATGCACAAAGGATGTTGTGTGCTTGCAGTGTTGAGTTTGTACTTTTGATATTATTTAAATATTAACGATAGATTTTTTTGCACTCTGTCAATAAAAAATGAGCTACGTATGTAAGTAAATGTAAATATATTAAAAAATTTGCGATTTCATGTAAGCCACCAATGTTTTAAAATCAAAAATGAGTAATATTATTCATTGTTTCCATAAAAGGCTTAAGGTAATAAGTGACTTTTTCAAAATTTTGACATTTTTGAATCAAATTGGTCTTTAGTATTGTTTCCAGGTAGGCACTTTACTATATTCCGGAAAGCATGAAAATACACAAAAACATATTGCGTGCATAGAAATTTTGTTTTTCACCAAAATCGCTTACCTCAATAAATTTAAAACGTGACCTATTACATTGACGCGAACTTTTCATACGTATGGAAATCTATTTATAAACGTTATAAATTACATTACAATTTTACACATTTCTTGTCTTATTCGATATATTTGAGAAAAAAAATAATGGCGTACATTTGGCATACTTACTAACTTTTACTCTCTTCCAAAAGTTTTTTTTCTCAGCGGTAGTGAAATAATTAAGGATAATATTGATAGTAAAATAATAATGATAGTGATAATGTCTTAACTCACATTTAGTCATCACTTATTACACGATAAGATAACTAGCAAGCCTTTTTTATAAATGTTTAATCTTTTTAAACATAATGGTAGTTAAAACAAGAATCAAGTTTGTATTCAAAAAATATTGCTTCCACGTTAAATATAGAAAGGAAATCTTTCAAAAATTCGGGAAGAGTTTGATGGTCAAAAAAGTATCTATTCTTTTTTCAAGTAAAAAAAAGTTTTCAAAAAATTTAAATCTATGTATTTAAAAAATTAATTTTAATAGCGAATTACCTAGAATCGCTTTGTGAATTTCTTCTCTGGAATGATATGTATTTTTTAAATGTAATATTGAACATTAATGCATGCAATTTAATTTTTCTATTACTATCAGGACTTGTACAAAATGAATTTCCTTTATCTGATGAACCTGTGAAAGGAACATGGAAAATATATGCCAAAAGAAATAATCAGATTATAGAAAGTACATCATTTGAAGTAAAAGAATACGGTAAGTCTGTTATCCACTTCCTTTAAGATACAACAATAATGAAAATAGTTTTTTGCTATAAATTTTTTTGTGATGAACTATGTTCTTTGTAATAGAACTTTTCAATAATATAATTCGAGTATGTTTTGTAAAATGGTAAAGTATTTCTTGTTATTTCTTTTCAGGATTTAGTGAAAAAATATAAATTAAATTGAGAATGTAAAATTATTCATCTGTTCGATTAAAAATGTAGTCCGATGTTGCGCTAAACTTTTACTTCTGGGTAAAATACATAAAAATTTTATTGTTTCTTAAAATTTAAATATATCATAGATAATTTTCTGAAAAGAGTTCCTTCAGGGGTTTCTTTTTTCTAGATAAATATTGTTATAACTTATTGTTATAACTCATAGAGTATATTGTTATAATATATTGCTATAACTCATATATTAAATTGTTATAATTTATTGTGATAAATATTGTCATATGATGTCGTGAAAAGTGCTTACATGCGTATGTGAGACCTGGACAATGAAACGTGGAGATGAAAATATGATAGCTAGATTAGAGAGAAAAATACTGCGAAGCATTTCTGGTGGAATAAGTAAAAATGGTACTAGGTTTAGAAGATCAAACACGGAACTTAACAAAGCATATAAAGAACCTGATGTCATTAAATTTATCAAAATTCAAAGGATTAAATGAGGGGTTAGTTCCATCAAAAAATCCTCCACGAAGGCAGATTTCGCCTANAAAAGTTGTAAAAATCTTGTTAAAAAAATTGGAATAATTGGAAAATTGCTTGTTGTTAATTGGAAAATAGCTGACGGAGCCACACCGATCTTAACCTGACTGTTCAAACGCCTAATTCGTTACAATGGTTTTGTTAACGGATTGGTTGGAAGATTATTTATTTTTCTGAGTAAGTCAAAATTTAATACTAAATATACCTCCAACATCTTTCTTCAGGGAGCTGGGCAGAGAAAAACCAATTTTGATCAGACAGTTCAAATGCCAATCCGTAACATATCCTTTTCAACTACCCAATATTCTTCCTCTTTTTCGCAAAAGACATAGTTTATAACTGTGTTTACGTAATATCGTTAAGAATATACTCTAAAAAATCCGTTATGCTATTTAATTTTGCATTAAATCTTATAAATTTCCGTCGATAGGTTAGGAAGATGTTAAATAGATAAGAAATGCAGATTATTGAGTATAGTATTACAGGCTATTGAGAAGGCTTAGTAAACAGATAAAAAAGCTTTATAGGGCAACTCTTAAGTAATTAAATAAGTAAAAGAATAACGCTGAAAACGCTCATAATTATTTTGAAAGTTGTGGTTTGAGCCCAATACAGAAAATTTTTTAAAATTTAATTTTATATACAAATTTATTTGGAAAATTTTAATTTACATTTAAAACCAGTTATGATACCAAAATTCAATTTTTCTGCTGAGATAATTTTATTAATTTATTTATTACATATATAGTATTGTTTATCTATTGATTCACAGTCTCCTTGCTATTACCAATTTTGTACTATACTATGAATTACAGTAATATACTTCATAATGATTGATGTAGTAGAATATCGAATTCGATAATTTTTGCTATCAATAATATAACAAAACAATCGAATCGATTTTTATCTTTGTTGGATTTTATCGTATCGTGTATTTTATATTCCTGATGATAAATAGCAATTATGTTAATCGTGAGTATAATTTTTAAAATGTAACTGACGATGTTTTAAAAATTGTCGAAATTATGCATGAAGTATTTTTTCTTTCTTTCAGTTCTTCCTAAATTTGATGTTAGTATTAAATTCCCATCTTTTGTTCTTGTTGATGCTGAAACAATTCCTATAGAAATATGTGCAAAGTAAGTAATATAGTCATTTTGGTTTTTAATATACAAAATATAGGGAACTGAAAATTTTCTTGAAAGCCCTAACAAGAAGACAACCGAAAAAAACGAATAATAAATATCATGTTGCCAATGGATAGATAAATTCTAGAGTTTATGATGCCACATTAGAGAAATACCTATTTAGATTTCCCCTTATGAACTAGAGAAATATTTAGTGATTGCTTATTGTTAAATGTTTATTTATGTGTTAAAGTCGACGTCAACTACCTTTCCAGGAAAAATACGGTATCAATGGTACCAAGAAATTTCTATTTTTTTTATAGTTTGTTTGACCACCCTTTTTCCTTACTATTTGTTTCAGTCACTGTATTTTTTAAAAATATAATTTGATTTCGTTTTTTTTAAACATGCAGTCTCGTTTACGATTGGCGCAGAATAGCTTAGAAAAGCTTTACATTTCTTTCTAATTAAGATTTCTTAATGCTTCTTGTAATTATGTGCTGTACTAATTATACTCGCATAATAATAATAAATATTAATCTTTGAAAATTAGTTTAAAAAATTATGCAAGTATACATAATGTTTATACATCCTTTTATTTTAGATTTAAAAAAATGTAGAAATTTACAAAGTTTCTGGGTTTTTTTAAATATATTGTCAATTAAGCATTGACATTTTACTTAAAATAGTAAATGGAGTCATCAGTGATTTGTTTTTATTGAAATCTTCATGAAAGATATAATTAATTAAGAAAAGATTAAATGATCGGGGAAAGTAAGTTCATTGCTTCGATTGACTCCACATAAAGCGAACTATGACCTGATTGGATGGATATAAATCGTGCTAATTACATGAGATCTTTTGCACGGAGTATACATATTTATTTTTCCCTGAAGGTACAACAGAATCCATTTGAAGATTCTAGAAGACTTTATTTACTTTTTATTTCTTTATTACTTTTGATGAGAGTGCCTTGCCTCATTAACTCGTGCAGAACTAATTCGGTTAATGACCTTTCATTTTATTTACTTACCTTTGGATTCCACATATGAAATGTAATTTTTATTAAAGATTAGGGCTGCTGAAATGTAACTGCTGCATGAATGTAGAAGCGATTCTAGTTGAAAGGGTTCTTCAAAAAAAAAAAAAATCACTAGCTTAAAAAAAAAACGTACTAAGATTTTTTTTAAAAAATGGCCAATTTGGCGACAATTGTCCACTTAGAAGATGAACATAAATATTAATTATTAATTCTTGATTTTTTTTCAATTTTTATAAGCTCAGACAACGCAACGTTGGACTAACTTTTTAAATAATAAAAATTCGATTAGAAGTGACTCTTCACCTTGAAAACTGGGATTTTTCTTTTCATTGATATTTTGCGCCATTTTCATTTGGGTATTTAACACTCGAGAAGTGAAGTGATTATGCCTAACCACGTAATTAAAATCAGATTTAATTGGATACCAATAAGCAACGTCACCCATGTTTCGTCGAACATGATTGGCTCCAGAATCAACAATAAATGCCACAAATTATCTGTGATGACGTCAATTGCAAGCATCTATTTAGCAAAGGGACCACTGGCTAAAGATTTGACAACACTAAACCTAACAATTATGAATAACTATTACAAAAATATAACAGTTATAAAAATAGCGTATTACACCCTAAAAAACGTTATTTCGTGAGATGACAAAGCCTTTAGAGAGCAGCCTTAAAACGCACGGTTTGTGCTTTTTTTATTAGTTGTACCTATTTAATTTTGCCGAATAAGCTATTATTTAATTGCTTTGTCGCCATGTGTGATAATGCTTATTAGTGAATTATTTTAACTGATATGAGTTAGTAAGGGTTATTTGGAACTGTTAAGTTAACCCTTGCCTTTTGCACTAAATATGAACATGGCGAAAAGTATCCATAGGCAGAAAAGCCACGGCGTTGTAAAAAAAATATGTTTGTGAACTCATTTTTTATTATTTGAAAACTTACGATAATGTTACATCATTTCGATAAGCAAAACTTACGAAATAGAAAATTGTTCACAGATATTAATACAATTTCTTATTGAACGGCTAAATATATAATATTTTTTTAATACTTCAGCATATACTTTTCCAACATTTCTTTTACATGTAATAATATGCATAATTTAGTACATTGAGATCATATTTGTTTGAGGCAGGATATGATTTGGGTTCAGGTCTGCGGGTTTTATTATAAACTGTAGATTTGCATTTTTCTTGTCTGTAACAATTCAAATTAATGGAAAGGTCTAAAAGGGATTAAAAACATCTTTCCTTTTTATCTGCTAAATAAACCGCTTTGTCTGAATTGAATTCCAACTTAAGCATGATTGGTCGATAACCTAATTCTAAATATATACGCATTGAAGAACTTGATTACTAAATATTTTGCACAAAATCCACAAGGATATAAAATTATCCTATGGATATTTTTACAAATTTAAGAAACGGTTTACATAAAAAGTCTCCTTTATATCAAAGTTACAGTACCACCATTTTTAATAAAGGAATTTTTCAATTGCTGTAAAATAAGAGTTTCGCCCTTATTGATTATTCAAAATCAAGAAAGACTCAGTTCAAAAGACTAGTGTTTTAGTTCAGACACTACGATACTTAAGTATAGTTCAATTAAATTATAGACTTAAATCTAAGTTTTTGCTTAGATATAAAATTCTTTTTCTTAATATTTGACATTTCAATACATTTATTTATTTCCGTCATTAACATTAAGTTATGATTTCCCCCCCTCTTGACAGGTATACCTATGGCAAGCCAGTTACTGGAACATTAAACTTGAATTGTTCATTAGAAAAGTATTCTTATTCCAGAGAAAAACTGCCGGTCTTGCAGGAAACGTTCAAGGTATGGATAAACTATAGGAATATTATATGTTATTCCTCTAGGTATCAAACTTATTAAAGAACCTATTTCGTTTCGAATTTCTCATAAAGTGTATTATTATGTTTATTAATATTTAGCTACAAGCATCAGTTTTGGTATTTACTCTCAGATCTATCTAGTTTGTTTCTTCAGTCTATGCACACAATGTTTGTCATCTCAATGTACATTATCTCATTTGTTATCTCAATCTAACCGCAAATCATTTGCTAGTTCAATCTAAGCATCTTATTTGCAAATATCATTTTTAATATCAATCTAGCCGCAAATTGTTTGTTAATTCTATCTAAACATTCGTTTGCAAATATCATTTTTAATCTCAATCTAGTAGCAAATTGTTTGCTAAATCAATCAATTTAAACATTTCTAACCGTAAATCGTTTGCTTGTACAGTCTAAACATCTCGTTTGCAAATATCATTTTTAATCTCAATCTAGAAGCAAATTGTTTGCTAAATTAATCTAGACATCTCGTTTGCAAATATCATTTTTAATCTCAATCTAGTAGCAAATTGTTTGCTAAATCAATCTAAACATCTCGTTTGCAGCTTCAGTCCAAGTGCTATATCAATCTATATAGCAGTTTGCTATATCAATCTATATAAATTTCGTTTGCCACTTCAATCTAGATCTATTTTGTTATCAATTTAGATCAATTCATCATCTATTCTGTTAAAGGTATTGTTTTTGAAAAACAAATTGCTTTTGTCACTATATTTTTTCAAAGAAAGTGCCTCAAATTATATTAAAATGAATTTTTTCTACAATTTAGCTACATTTAGTGAATAAAGAGAGATTGCAATTTAAGTATATATTTTAAGTTTAGATTTAATAGCTTTTCTATTGTTTTATATTGTTCTTTACTTCGTATTAAGATACACATTACATTTTCCCTCATCAGTTTTAAGGACCGAACCTCAGGTTTTTTTTACTAATGAAGAAAAAAATATTTGTTCAACATTTTCTTTTATATTTATATTCAAAGAATAAGGAAAATATATCTCCTTTTATTGCTTCATGATTATTTAACTAAAAATAGAAATGTATAAATAGCTTGCACAGAAACTTTACCGATGTTAATGATAACTATATATGACTATCAGTTAAAGTAATATAATAGAGAATAACAGCATCCAACATAAAATTTTCTCTCAGATCTTTCTTCAGAATTTTCCTTCTGATCTTAAATTCTATAACCTTTTTAAATACAGTGTTTATTTGAAAATTAACTAAAGCAGAAATATTTCTAACCCGTTTCATATACCAGTGATTTTGCTTACGCGCTTCAGCACGAAGACGAAAAATGAAAGTTGTGATGCGTTCCGTGGGATGCGTAAAATGCATCCCCTGGAACGCAAAAAAGTCATGATGCGTCCTCAGGGACGCATATGAATAGTTAATATGCGTATATGCGTCCTCTAAACGCGAAAAAAGTAGTTTCTTGGGCTGTGTATTTCTACATCGACAAAAATTTAGTAAATTTATGTCGGCAGAAAAAAAATTACGAAATTTTAAAAAAATAAAAAAGTGACGAAGAGGAAAATTATTTATGTTTTAAGCTGCAGACCAGACTGTGTAGTAGTCAGGGAGCTGACCTCTCACAAGAAAGGTCCAGGTTTCGAATCCCGAACAAGGCATGGATGTATTATCTGTCTATATGTCCTTATTGGGGGAGCCATGCTGGCTAACCTAATATAGTGCCCCTGAAAAAGTGGCTAACAAATCTGCCCTACCGATACCTTAATGACGAGTGTCAATTGGGTAGGCATTGGAAAAAAATTTTAAACTAAATTTACACCATAAATTACATTTTTTATGTGTCTACGAGCTATGAAATTTTGAGAAATAAATATTTTCAACTACGAGGCGAATACTGATCGGTTATCTTAATTATATATTTTTTTTTCGTTTGATGCATTTTATTTAATGTCAAATTTAGTTTAGATCACCGTTTTGTTTCGTTAGAAAAAATTTTTGAGTTTCTTATTTGTTCGATTTCATTTCCATAAAACTTAGTATGTAACAAGCTAACAATTATGTATCTATTTTGTTTGTTCTCACTACAATAAATAAGCGAAGATGAAAATTTTCTCTGATAATATGAAAATGAATTAAATTGTTTCAGCTTGACGGATGCTACAATTACACTCTAAATGTCTCGAGGATACAATATGGCAATAGTTTTAGATATAAAAGAATTATGGTTGCTGCAAATGTCGTCGAGGATGGAACAGGTAAAAGTTATTGATTTTTTTTAATTTAATGAAAAGGTTTATTTAAAATATTCTTATCAGTCATTTTCATAATAGTTGTGTAAATTTATAAAGCGTTTTTAATTCCTATTACGATGTTTTAAAACAAGTATTAGGGAAGTTTGGAATTAAAATTAATAGTATTATAATTATAGTGCACATTAAATCTGTAGGGTCATCATGTCCTCCATCTTCCCACAACAAATTACATCTGGGGGTCCAAAGTTATATAGCAATTACTTTAATGTGCAAATTTATAAACCCCTATTTTAATGTGTAGACGGTATGTTGCATACACACGGTTTGTTATGGTATTAGCATTATTTCTGGAGTTTTGCATATAGCAGGCTTTGAGTCTGTACATCTGAGCTACGATTCGCACAAAAATATCAAGTTTAATATTACAACTTTATTGCTTGATTAAATAACTTTATTGGTTTAAAAAATATGCAGATTGAAGTTAAGTTTTCATCAAATAATAGGAGGCTAACGCACTGGAAAGCTCGGTCGGAACTTTCGAACAACGCCATCCACCGCGTCAGGAAAACATTTCCGACCCCGCATTGTTTGCTCCGTTTAAAACAAAGTTTGGAACGAGGAGAGCTAATGATGTCGTTGATGATGTAGGACTAATCCTGTCAATATGATTTCGAGTCGTCAGGATGCCCCCTACGCCTCTTAGAAGTTCTGAAACGCTTAACTGAGACACCGACACCCTGTATATATATAAAAAAATGTAAGNTGGCAAAAACCTGTTTTTGCCAGGACGGTTTTTACCGGTTTTTACCATGGTTTTTTCCACCTGCGGCAAAATCTTGCCAACCCTGTATATATATAATGAGAGTTATTCAAGATTTTCCAATCTGAATAATCTATGTTATGACTAATAATAAATGTTGTTTTCTCAAGTCTGGTTAACAACATAATGTTTTTTGTTTTAGGCGTAGATCGAAATGAGACTCAATATCTTCAACGACAACAATCGCCGTTGAGCATTTCGTTTAGCAACGCCCAGAGACAATTCTATAAACCCGGTTTGCCGTACAATGGAGAAGTTAGTATTAATTATTATGCATGTTGGTATTTTTATAACCATGTTTCATCAGTGTTTATATGTTTGAAAAAACGATTCGACTAATATTCTGAAGTTTCAAGGTAGTGACAGTTGTTGCTTTCAGAAATCTGTATCCCCGTTTGTTGGTTTTTCAGATGAAATACGATACAAGATATCAACAGCCTTTGCAAACACCCTCCCTCTCTCTTCTTCTTTTTTCAGAATATCTCAAAGGAATTGGAAAGACAAATTACACTGGGGAATGCATTTTTTTGTTAGATGAGATTCTTTACTAGATCATAAACTCCATCGTATCGCAGATTTTGACTTTTCCTGGAACGAGTTTCTATGAAATTTTAAACTTCAAGATGTGCCCTAACTCCCTTAAGCTTTTGTCAAAATATTTAAGCGACTCCCGGTTATATATAAAGTTTCTAAAGTTGCAAATTTCGACAAAAAATGTCATTTAAAAGAATCTATAGCTTTAGAAGCAAGTTTTGTTTCAGATTTGAAATCCTTACACCCGAATTATTCAAAATCAAGAAAATGCATAAATGCAGTAGAAAAAAAACTGTTCCCCAGTGTTATCTGTTGCGTTAAAAACTTTTCAGATATTATACACACAGTGACCGTTGACCGAGATTAGACTGGAAACTGGTCATAGCTATCTTCTGACGCTCTAGTCCATTAGCACAATGCTCCAAAAAAAAACAGCCCACCTAAAATAACTTTTGATCTAATGATCGGATCTTTACGCTCCAGGAATCAATCTTAACGGTTCGAGGGGATGACCTCAAATATGCTAATTAATTAGTGCAGACGATATTTTAAAGTCACAAAATCAGACACAAAAACATATTTTCTCTAAATAAACATACATTTATTTGACGAATTCGGATTTCTACCCCCCAAAATGTAGAGGATAGCCGCAATCTGAGAAATGTGATTCTCATAGTTGAGTCAGGACAGAGATCCAAAGCTTGGACTTCGTAATGTTAATTTTACTCTTTGCATATTTCACCATATCTCGAGAACTTCTTAAGCGAATCCAAAAATTTTCGCAAACAATTATAAAATTCGTTTATCCTAAGATGATGCCACGCAAAGAATAAATTTCATTAAATATTTATTACTTTTCATTATTTTATTTAAGAATAGTAATAGTCGAAAATATTTTGAATTGTAACGTATAACATTTTTACATCATTTTAAAATATAAAATTTTTCATGACAAAACACAAAATTTGAATGAAATTGGTCTAATAGCTCGTGAGAAATCGGAATTTAAAAAAAAGTCGTATTTTCGAAATTCGAACCATTAAGATTGAGTCCTGGAACGTAAAGATCCGATCATTAGATCAAGACGCAGTGTACGTCTTTTTGACGCAGTATACGTCGTTGCTTTAAACTCTGGCATGGATCATGGATTATGACTATCTGATCAATTACTTTTTGCATTACTATGCTTTCTAATTTGAGTCATCACAAAGAGGCTGGGGTCTCTAGGATTAATTGATTATTGGATTAATTGACTGATAGTCTCTTTTGTGTTCCTTATTATTTTTATTTTAAGATTCTGTTTTTGTTTCCTAGTACTTTTCAGATGTAGTTGTCTGTTGATCGGTACCATCATAAGTAAAAAAAAAAATAGTCATCATTTTCGTAAAAGTCAATTGCCTGTTTGTTCCTTTAAACCATAGGCATTAATTTGTCATTTTCATCATATTTAGATTAAAGTGAATCAACCGGATGACACACCGGCAGCAAATGTACCGATTGAGCTGTGTGCAACCATCACGAAAGAAAGAGTTTTAGCTGAATGGTGGGCAACGAAGAAACTGAAGTATTGTAAGAATTACACATCTGATAAAGACGGTATCATACAATATACAGTACTTGCACAAAATATGGATGTTGTATCGATATTCTTAGAGGTAAGAACAAATTTGTATTGTCAGTAAGTTATTAAAAAGTAGGTAAAAGTGTAATTATCTTTCCAGACGTAAGTAATAGAGAATGCTTTTCAAAATAATACTTATAAAAAATAATATATAAGAATACTTATAAAAACACGTTAAAATAGTGTCAAATATGCAATAATACTTTTAGAAAGGCTAATATAATTCGCACGATTATGATGTTTCTTGGTTTAGGAATTTGCCAGTAAGCAAATGCTCAAAGCCTTCAGCTAAAATTATATTTCAACAACATCCAGTTCGAAATTTGGTCCGCATAATATTTTTTTATCATAAAGTAAATGTTCTCGACTCTCGCCAATGAGAAAGTTGAAGTATTTTTGGACAATTATGGACAATTTTTTTTACAAATTGTCCCTACCTGGTATAAGACCTTGAAATAATTTTGCACCTTAATTATACAGCGTGATCTAACAAAAGAGTGGAAAATTTAAATTCTAATAAAATGGTGTCTTGATTGAATACCGAAATTATATTTAAGTCATCGAGTTGAAAAAGTATATAAAAAAACATCTAAGTTTTTTTTAAAAACTTTTTAAGCGTAGTTTGTTTTGTTATAGACTTATTATATAGACTCTACTAAAGACGATAGAGAATAAATTATGTGTAATGGCTGTTTTTATGGGTTTTATTATTTTCTGTGTTTTTCGGGAGTGAAATCAATTACTTAAAAACTTAAAACTTGCACTCTTTTGCGTAAAAAGTAATGTTCTGCTTAAAGGTTTTACATGAATGAAAAATAGCTTATTAAAAAAGACCATATATTTCATACCATTTAACGTTTTTAAAATTTTAGATGTCAATATGTCTACAACTATAGAACTCTATAAGGATGATATTAGCCGTTCATCATTGCATCCTTTTTCTGAAATTTCACCCTTATTTCTTAGATGTCAATGTGTCTACAACTATAGAACTCTATAAGGATGATATTAGCTGTTCATCATTGCATCCTTTTTCTGAAATTTCACCCTTTTTTCTTAGATGTCAATATGGCCACAACTATAGAATCCTAGAGATGCTATTAGCTGTTCATTGCACCCTTTTTCTGAAAGTGACCGGATCGCTTTCATTTATAAACTTTACAGTATGGGCGATCTTCGGTCAATGTACTTTTGCAATAGTTTTGGTGAAAGAACATTCGTAGTTCTGTGTCGAAAAAACGTTGAATCCCGGAGTTGCAGCAACAATTATGCCAAAACGTCGCCAAATGTAACCAGTGGCAAATAAATGTATCAATAAAGTAAATAATAAGAAACTACAAAATTTGTACTTCATGATTTTAAGAGTTTCGGTTTAATTAAGTTTAATGGGCATTTTTGGAACACATTTTAGTTAGTTTTTGTTAGAAATTTTGTTATTTTCCAGTTGTAACATTTCTCACATTTATTGAATTTAATTATATAAATTTTTCTTTTAAAGGCCAAATCAGTAACATTTCCTTCAAATGGGCCACATAACACCCTTAATGTTCCAAGTGCTGCTATCTACTTAGATCCTTATTACTCGCCTTCTGAAAGCTTCATCCAGTTACAGCCAGTACAGCAACCAGTTTCATGCGATAGTAAGCTGAAACTAAAGCTTCTTTTTACATCTAAAGAAAGTGACAATTTCAAGTTTTACTACCAAGTAAGTTAGTGCTCAATATCAATTGGTGTTTTATCATATCTGAAATGTTATAATATGAAGAAATTAGATAATTGTTTCAACTATTCTGTTTGTAAGCTTAGAAACAAAATTGTTACATTTCATTTACTTTGATTGTGAATTTTATTATGATGATTCATTTTTAATTATTTTGAAAAACTAAAAAAACTAAAATATAATAGTTAGTGTAAAAGAATCTCAGTTTGTTTTAACTCGATCTAAACATTACGAATAAGAATTGCGTTGTTCTTCATTGTTTTTGATACTTTCCTAAATAGTTGTAGTCCATCAATTTCAAAATTTTGATTATTATCCATGAATGCAGCAAGAATCAATTTTTCATCAACCAGTTTTATATGCCAGTAAACTGAAACTTAAGCTTCTTTTTTGCATCTACTGAAAGTAACAATTTCAAGTTTTACTACCATGTAAGTTAGCGTTAGATATCAATCAGCATTTTATAGTATCTGAAATATTATAATATGAAAAAATAATACAATTGTTTCTACTATTATGTTTGAAAACTAAAAAAAAAAATTATTATTTTTATTTTGATGATTTTAATTTATGATTATTCATTTTGAATTATTTTGTAAAACTAAAAAATATATAATAGTTAGTGTTATAGAATCTAAATTTGTTTTCAAGTCTTTCAGCACTACACATTATGAAAAGAACGATGTTGTTCTTCATTGTTATTGCTACTATTCTAAATAGTTGTAATTCTCTAATTTCAAAATTTTGATTATTATCCCCGAATTCAGTAAAATTTAATTTTGTTCATAAATTTTAACGAATACTGATTACCGTAAAATATTATAAAAAAATTACTCAAATGTCTCTTTTCTTTTAATAAAAATTTCTCATCTCAAGGATGGCCGTTATAATTCTGATTTCAGGTATTACATTTATAATGATTTTGAGCATTATAGTTTTTCTTAACTAGAGAAGATTTTAGCTTGAACGTGAAGCATTGTGATTAGCATTTTTTCGTAAAACCTTTATATTATGAAACTAAATATAAGTATAATCAATATAATGAACTATTGTGTCGAAATAATCTCTCCAATTTATTGTTCTAATAATTATTCATTACTTTTATGATAATAATGGAATAGATAAACATTTCTTTACTCATAATTAGGTACTGATTAAGTATTATACTCACATTTAAAATAATTTATTATTTGAAATCCATTTAATAATCTTCCTGTATTTGAAATGTAGGACACGGGCAGGGATAGCCTGGTCGGTAAGGCGCTGGAGTCGCGTTCGTGAGAACGGGTGTTCAAATCCAGCCGTCTGAAGGCTCCCCGTGTAGCAAATGGTGACTGGTGTACATTAAATCTGTCGAGTCGCAAAGTCCTCCATGTTTCCGTAACAAAGCAATACCTCTGGGGGTACTGAATTGGAAATTGATCGTCCTCTGATTCAGGTCAAAATTACAATCTGTGGATGAATGAATGGATGTATGAATGGGTTCGCCTTATAAATGGGTGTGACGTTTGGGATGGCAGAAGTCAAATTCTTGGCTATAGATCGCGCCACTGGAAGACAAGAACAATCGCACCCCCTCTGCCTTAACAAGCATACAAATGAAAGAGAATGTAGGACACACCAACTTAGACATCTCTAATAGCTTTTAGAATACAGTGAGATTTTATTTAAATAGCTAGTCCAGCCCCTTAAATAAAAAAGAGCTACCTTCGCTTTCATGAATATACAAGTTGTTCTTAGATCATTTTAATTTAAAATTAATATTACTTCCAAGAACTTCAGTTTTTATCTGCTGTCAAACTGAGGGCAGCCTAAATTTGTCAAAAAAGTTAATAAAAAATGAGTTTAATTATATTTAAATGACCTAAAATAAACACAGAAGGAATTGTTCAAATAATTAAATATAACTTTTACATATGAGCTGAAACTTCAGTTAACATTGAATTGAATTAAGAAGAATATAAAAGCGATATTTTATCTGAGAAATTCATAAGAAATTTAAATTCTTTTATATCTTTATGTTTAATAGTTTTATATCCTTATATTTAATATTTTTATATTTTTATATTTCTATACCAAAAATCTTTTGATCTTTTATTGTAGTTTGAACAAATTCCAAGTGCTTAAACATTTTTCTTCCTTTACAAAACTCTTTTTTTAATTTGTTTTTATAGATTACAAAACAATCCGATGTCGTTTCAACTAATATACTAGAAACAGATTTTTCTGTTGAAAATGATGTATCAAGCAGGTATGAAAGTGATGAAAAGATTTTAAAAGGAGAAGAAACTCAATTGCTACCCATATTGCAATCTAGCTCATCAAATGCTGAATCTGATTGTCCTGCATCCAAAGAAACAAAGTAGGTTATCCATGATATTTTCGATTAATCGGGTTTAATCGCTAGTTAAAACGCAATTTAAAACATGTAGATATTTTTACCCAGACAAAGCTTTTTCGAAAAGTTTTTCACAAAAAAGTTCAAAATTTCAGAAATTTTGCGCTGTCTTTGCAAAGATTATTCCACATTTTTATGAAATTGTGAAAATATGCAAGTAAATTAACCAAAACAGCATGGATAAAGCAAAAATAAAGACACAAAAATTGATATACAGTTTCGATTCTATAAACAAGAATCTTATTCTGAGTAAAAAAAAGAACATTTGTATTTTGACACTAAAAAAGGTTTTTGTTTATGGACCTGAAACTATAATGCGTCCATTTTTGCGCCTTTATTTGTTCTTTATTTTCGTTATTTTACTTCATTCTTATGTAGTACAAAGCATGCCTTATTCCTATTTGTGTACTCATAATTTTGTGATTTTGTGAATATAGGGTTCCGTTTTTGATTTTTGTAAAAGGTTCTGTTTTTTAGAATTTTTTAAACTTTTTTTTAATTTTCTAAATATAAAATTATCTTAAAATTGAGCTCTTTGTGTTGTTGTAAATATGTGAGAATAAAATGCATTATTTAATAATGTCGTGTATTATTTATTAAAATAAATAAATAATACGCGAAAACTTTCATTCAAGTAATTGTAGGTATGGAATTATAATTAATTAATAATGTAGTTGTTGACTCCATTTTTCAAAAGGAGAAGGGTACATTAAAACAAATTAAACACATTTTGAAGGGTCCATTTGTACGATAAAATAGCTGAAAAACCGTTACTCTCATAAAATTATTCGTGAAGGGTTCGTTTTTACGATAAAATATTATGTGAAGGATTTTTTTTTCATGAAATAATTTGTGAATTGCCTATTTCTACAATAAATAATTTTATAAACTATTAATTTTTACTGTGAATTTTACCACGATTACCACGCTTGTTTTTACCATTAAATTGTTATTAAGCTTCCCTTTTATCATAAAATAATTCATTAAATTCTGATTTAAGATTAAATGATTTAAAAAGGTTTTGTTTTTATGATTGAATAATTTGTAAAACGTACCTTTTTTACGATTAAATATGTGAATGATTTGTTAATGAAATTGGGGTCTTTGTTTTTGATAACAGTTGGGTCAATGAAGACTATCATGATGTAAATACGTGAACATAGATTTCTATTATAACTGTAGAATTTGCATGAAATTAAAAATCTTTATTATTCATTTTGGCTATCAGATTAGAAATTAAATAAAATTGTGAGTGCATTAAAAAAAAATATATAACTTCCTATGTTTGATTTCAATGTAATACGTTTGAAACACTTTTACATACATTTAAGCATTCAAAAAATAAATAAAATATTTCATAATTTTTGATTAATCTGGATATTTTATATGAATAAATTAAATCTAAAATTTCCTTAAAACATGAAACGAAAAAGGGAAAAATTAAGTGTTTACGGAATGAATAATTTTGTTTTCCTAGATATTTACCACCTGTTGGAGAAGTTGATTTCGAAATTGATGTTGATGCTGCTTTGTCACCTGTTTTCTATGTTCTTGTGTACTACGTTCGAGGCGACAGGGAGACGGTAGCTGATTCACAAAGAATAGAAGTACAAAAATGCTTCAAAAATAAGGTGCCAATTATGATATATTCTTGAATCCAGAGCTTTAATTAATGGTAGACAATGCAATGTATATTTATATTTATAGCTTTGGAAATGATAAACATAATGAGATCAATTTTTAAAAAAAAATTAAAATTTAACTTTTTACCTTCTTTGCTATTTTTAATTATTGTAAGAAAAAATTAAAAATTTTACCCTTTTGAGAAATGATCTTTTTTTAAAAAAAGTTGTAGAACAGGGTGCATGGCATTTTTAAAAATTTCTTAAAGGTGCTTATTTTTCGTTTACTTTTTTAAAAAATCCTTAAGGTGCTTTTTTCATTGGGGGTTTGTGAGAAATCCTTAATTTTCTCTTTGTAAAAGATTTTTTTTCTTTGCCTTGTCTGTTGTCATAAATTGATAGAAAAGCATGATTTTCCCATTTTATCTTTCAATATTTATCAGAAAGTTAATTATTTTATCATGATCATGTAATTTCATTGAAAATGAGTTTGCATTTTGTAGATTTTATGTATATGAATGAAGAGCTTTAAGCAGTAGAAAGAAAAAAATATTGCTAAGCACATCTTAATTATGAGAGTTTTTTTTCATTTTTAAAAAGCGATTAAAATATTTTTTAAGTGCTAATTTTTTATTGCAAGATTTGACTTTACGCCCTGTAGGATATATTTATAGTTTATTGTTTCACATTTTGATCATTGAACAAAATCCATTTGGTTTCTCTAGAATGAGATATTTATATGTTATAAAACAATCCAGAAGGTCACTAAATTGGATTTTTTACCTTTCTTGTAAAGCTTTTATAGTAGTTAAAACCTCCGAAAAATCACGGTAAATCTAATTATATATTTCCAAAAACAAGCACTTTCTAAAGACAAGTAAGTGGGGGAAAAAACTAGAAGGATTTTTAAGAGATACTATTATGCCAAATGTTGTCCTATTGTTGGGTGCTAGATTTCAGGTTTCAGTCACTTTAATTTTTTTAATTCTTGGTTTCATTTTATTCTTATGACTTTCCCAAGGAAACCTTTTATATATTTATTTAAGAAAAAATGATCATTAAAATGCTGTAAATCTTAGTTGCTCAAGGCAAAAAATAAATAAATAAATAAATAAATAAAAAGAAGAAAGAAAGAAAAAAGAAAAATCTTTAAATTACCTGAATTTTTCTTTCATTATATAAGCAGAAGGTGATTTTTTTTTTCAAACTAGTAAAACTTTATTGGGAACAAAAACAAACACATAAATACAAAGAATATATATTCGTCGTCAAGAGGAAAATCCTGTCCAGGCGACAAAGAAAAGTAATACAATAAATCTAAATTAGAAATTTAAAAATAAAAAAAGGGAGATATTGCAATCATAAATTATTTTGCTCATCATAGGACATCATCTATTGTTGAACACTGTAATAATAGAAAAAAAAATACATTAAACTATATAAAAAAAATATAAGGTAACATAAGAAATTCATTTGGCACAAGACTGGTGTAAAAAATCAAATGCTTCCTTTAAGGTGAAAAATAGAGGTCTAAATCGTCAATGTTCATCATAAATTGAAATAAAGCAAGCTTAAAAGATGAATATATTAGGATGTTTTGCAACTGGAATGGTAATTTATTATATAATTTAGGTGCTAAGTAAAAAAAACTGTTTTCGTGAAATTTCTTTTATAAAGTGGGGAATCTCATATATTTCAGTTGGTCTCCTTTCAGCCACATTAGTTTTTAATTTGCATATTAATTTATTGCTGTGTAAATAAAATAAAATACGAAAAAATACATTATGGAGAAATGGTAATAAGTTAATTCTTGTATAAAAATTAGTAGTAGTTATACTTAAATTATTTATATTTAGAGAATTAACTGTCAACTTGTAAACTTGACCATTTATAGAAAAAATGATAATAAAGAGGAACTTAATAGAATGTAATTAAGTAAGTTTATAACATAAAATTGAATAATTGAAAAATGGAGTAGTCCAAACAGAATATGCAATATAAAATGTCAAATGATTTACTTCAGAAAACAACGAAAAGAGAAAACTGCAAATAATAATTAAAAATATTTTTGATTTCTTATATTTGTACGTCTGGTATAATTTATTAAGCTGTTTCACTTTGTTACTTTAAACAAAGCATATTGTAAATTTTTGTTTTCCTAAGATTTAGCGTAGTATAACCGCATTTGGCTTCTGGAACATCAGATTCCACCAGAACATCCACTTTAAGCTAATGGGCAGAGGGTGGATTTCATAAAAAAAATGTGTGAACTATTTAACTTTTTTTATGCTAAGCATATGACGTAGAAGATCAAAAAAAATTTTTACCTAGCAGTTTAATTCAAATTTATAAAAAAAATATTTAGCAAATATATATTTTTTTGTTCTGAATTTGTCTGAAATAGAAGTTAAACTCATTATTTTTATTATTTTATTACTTACATGGTTATATACACTATGTGTAAAATATTTTATAGCATAAAATGTTTCCTAGAACTTAAATATCCTTCATCGAAAATTTTTTATTTTTAAAAGTTTCTATATCCACCATTTTTTTCTTTTATTTAAAATTTCAATATTAATGTCGACTTATGAACTAAGTATTTAGAAGCATAATTCTTGTTTAAGCTAATTAGATTATAGTACATTGTTCGCATATAACGATTTTCATTAAAGAAAAAGAATAACAACTTACTCATTTTTACTCAAAATAATTACCATACTTAAAAATTATCTTTTATTAGGTAAAATTTGCATTTGGTGACGAAGTGCAACAACCAGGTATGAAAACTTCAGTGCAAATAACTGCATCGCCCAATTCATTGTGCGGAATTAAAACAATCGACAAAAGCATATCACTTTTGAGCAACAATGATCAACTCACGAAAGAAGGTGTAAGTATATCAAAATACAAATGCACTTTTTAACCTTGTAAATTAATTATAAATTACTTATATAATAAATTAATTATAAATTTCTTATATAATAAATTATATAATAAATTAATTATAAATTAATTATATAATAAATTATATAATAAATTAATTATAAATTACTTATATAATAAATTATATAATAAATTAATTATAAATTACTTATATAATAAATTTAATTACAGATTTTCCAAAGATTAGATAACATGGATAGCAATCATTATTACACCAATAATCCTTGTCATCAGAAAGTACCTCAACCAGGTAAGTACGACGGATTGTATATATATATATTGCATATGTAATATATATATATTATATATGTCAAATATATTTATAGATATTGTATTGTACTGTATTGATTGTATATATATATATAGATATTGTATATGTAAGCATAGAACAGATTGCATATAATAAAGAGTTTATATTGTAAAAAAATATTTTAGTTTTTAATACATTTGGTCAAGTTCTAGTTTGTGAATCTTGTTTGATTTAAGTGTCAAATTTAGGAAGATACCAAACTATTCCAGTAAATGATAAGCGATTCAAAGATATTATTTATTGGTTATGCTATCTCATATGTTGCCTCTGAAAAAATATAATATATTGAATTCAGCTTCTTAAAATCTATTCAAAATTTTAATTTAGTATCAAGATTTGATTTTATATTTGGTTTAGCATTCGAATTATTATTTGACTTGATGCTCACGTAAGTCTTTTAAATATATTAAATATTGAATTTAGTATAAATTAGATATGAGGTTAAATATTCCTTAGTATAAAGTCGTCCGAAAATCTTCAGAATGCTACATCAGATTTTTTCCGCGAAATAATTTGCAAGCTTTCTTACGCATTCATTTTTAATATTTTATTACTTACAAGGTTATTTGTATTTTGACACTATGTATAAAACATTTTATAACATAAAATGTTTTGTAGAACTTAAAAAAAAACATTTTAGAAACTACCTTTCTTCTATATTTTATATTCTATCATTTCATTTACTTTGTTTTGGACTTCTTTTAAAACAAGTTTGATTAGCTTACCAAAAGTATGTGTTACTGCTCATATTTGGTGCGGTGCAATCATTTCCAGCTCTGGTTTCATTTAACTCTTGCATAAAGTGAACCAGTATTTGTTTGTTCACAGTATTCTTACAGCCTTTACATAACAAGTACGTGTAAATACTCTCTGATGAAGTTAAAATTGGTATCGGAGTATCATACTACGATACATGTGCAGTTATTTTTATAAGTAAAATTATCCCAATAATCATAAAAATCTTAAATAATCTTCTAAAATCGTGCGCAGTTTAGAAAATAATTATATTTATGAACGAAAGTTCAACTATTTAATATAAAAGTGATAATTTTTGAATAAGATTAATCTTTTTGATTCTTCATTATAAGATTGTTAAGTTATATATAGTATATAGATGATTCATGCAGATTTGTACTTATAGGTCTCTATTCTGGCAGAGCAAGTTCAAGCATTCTAATACCACCTGGAAGTGGGGGAACAAATTCTTATGATGACTCTCTTTCGGCATTTCAGGTGTGTAGTTTAAACTTGATGAATTATGTTTTTCCAGATCATTATTGTACAAACAGGGTGTTTTTACAATGGACACCCTTAATATTTATTGTTAGATACGTTGTCAAAACTGAAGACAAAAGCTTAACGCATAGTTAAAGGGTTGAAAGGTTTGAAAAAAAAAAGAATAAGAAAAAAAATCACAATCTATCGGATCTCTGCTAAGGGAGGCAGGGATGAATGTATCGAAACTATTTCAATTGTCTAATAAAACTTGGAGGTGTTTTTAATAACTACCTTTCAAGTTATCTGTATTTAATTCGAAAATAAAGCTTGTATTCCACTTCCGCTTTCTTTACAAATGAGAAATTAAATGGTGAAAGAGTTTTGTTTCCTTCTTCATTAGCATAAATATTAATTTTAGACTGTATATACTTTTTACTTCATGTTTGACCAGTACTTTAAAATTATTTATTAAGGGAATAATAATGCCAGAGGCCAAGGAGAAATAATGGCAAGCAGAGGGTATTAATAAGCCCATATTGTTTAAAGCACAGTGTTCGTTTGAATAGGAAATGAGTACAATAGTCAAGATCTCAAATTTTTCAATAGTAGAAGCTACTAGAATATGTACCCATTTACAGCACTCAACTCAGCTCAAATTACAGACTAGCACTGCAAAATGCAGATTTTAAAGCTTCAGAATGTTCAATAAACTAACATTTTAATCAATTTGCATCAATAGTTTAAATACACCAGTTCACTTAAGCGAATTTAATAAATTGACTTTCCTAATATAAATTTATTATTTTAATTAGCCGATTAATTATTTCAAATCAACAGCAATCGGATTCCGCTTTCGTGCTTCTTTCAGTGATTAACTGTAGTTCAAATAATCTTAAATGAATTATAAATAATAATCTATGAAAATAATTGCGAAAATTTTGAAAATATGCATAATAGTAGAGAAATCTTATCGATAGTAAGAGAGATGTTTTACTGATAACAATGATAAATATTTATGATATAAATTTATTTCCAGAGTTCTGGTTTTCTTGTGATTAGTGATTTGATTCTGTTCACTCGTCCTTGCATGAAGGGAGAAGGCTATGGATCAGGCGGCTATGGAGATGGAGGTATGGTTAACACCGTATTCCAAGCAGAAGCCCTCTCATTTGACTCTGGTGAGATAGACCAGTATTAAGTTATATGGAAAGAAAAATTAACGTTTCTTAACTGATGAATTTAAAGATCTAAAAATTCATTACTTACTTGGTTTTATTACTACTTTAATACAAATTTTATTCGCATTGAATTGTATTTACAATTACATAGATTCTCTTAAAAAAACAATCGCGGGATGCTTAGTTTAATATCGTTTAACTCCATATCCACACTTGATAACCTCCTGGATTGACTGAAACGAGTTCATAAGGTTTTATTGGTACTTTACTTCCAGTTTAAGTCACTCGCCTAGGATTTTGTTACACAAATTACAACTGCGGGGGTGCTGATCTCAGCAATTTACCCATTGTTTCAACATGTCGCACAAGAGTCCCATGTCGTTCACGAAGGTGATCGTTAGATTAATTTGAATGTAATAGGGTGTATAAATATTCATAAAACCTCATAAATATTCCACTTGCTGGTTGAGTTGTTTTTAATCTTAAAATATCTACAACATACTCATCATCAAGATTACTCTAAGGTGCGACAACACCATCTAATGTGCATTTTTATAATCAAAGAGTGAAGAGGCAGAGTTGTTGCATTGATATTCTTCAACTACTGTGTTTGTTATTGTATTATGAATGGAACAGAGATGCGTGAGTTCTGTTTCCAATAATAAGAAAAATAAATTAAAAAAAGGTTTTTATAATAGTTTTTTGCGTCCAAAATATTCTTTAAATAAATATGTGTTACAACGTCTAAGATTAATGAAAAAATCAAAGCTGTTGATCGTAAGACACCTGATCATATAGAATTTCAAAGTAAACATACTTTGGTGGGGAGGTCTTATCCATAATAGAAAAAATATCCCCAAAACATCTTGAACCTGATCTTACATACCATCAAGATCCAATGCTTCGAGTCCCATGTTGGAGAAATCGTAAAGACACGCTTCCCACTAGAACACCGAAGTCAAGCATCACTGTCTGCGGTTAGTAAGCGAGTGGGTGACCACTTTGATCAGTCTGCGTATTAACAGATGATGAGCGGAATCGGTTATTGCTAAACTGTTCTATCGTAAAGTGTTCGACTTCGAGCTCAGGGGAGCCATCCCCTCCGCAGAGGATCAAAAATGGGATGGCATGTCTTTGGACCATCCTCAGGGATGTTTCCCACGGCATCGCCAATAGCCCTTTGTGCAGCTCTAGTGCAACATAAATTAAGTACCTAAATATGCTTCAATTTAACTTGAGTGAACTAAGCGACATGGCTCAATTAAATAAAAGTAAAGACGTGATTCGTCATGCCACACTACTAATTAGCCTATCGGTTAATATCCACGTTAGATGATTTCTCTCCCATATCTTTAAGTGCTTGTCCGAACAATGACATTTTGAGACGGAGATATAGTTCCCATTGCAACGCTCTTTCGCTAATAGGTTGACTGTACTTTTATTAGCTGACTGCAGTGACTTCTGTTTGGTTTGGAAGCAAATTGGATTCAAACCGGAAAAAAATTTCGATCATTATGGGTTGCTGGATAACTATAAGGAACAACCTGTACAGTAGAAGTTGAGCCCACCAGATTTACTAACTCACCCCGAAATTAGGCTTAGCTCTTACATTTAGCAAAAATGTCGATGGACATTATTGCATTCTTAAAAAAAGAAAAAAAATTTCAATTGTCGAATCGTCTTAATTAAAATACTGTTTTTAAATAATATCCCTTATAAAGGTTCCGAATCGAGCTCAGGGGTGGTCCGCTCTGCTACTTGTTATAACTACGTATTAAAATTTGGACTTAAAGATGATTTATTTATGTTATGCTTTCAATACTGATTTGAGCTTTTTTTCGGTTTTTATTATTTTTATTGGTAAAGGGTCGGTGTTGGATATCACTTACAAGAATGGAACTGGAACTAACACGAAAAACGTGAAAAAGCATGTTTCTAGTTTTAATTAGTTTTAAATATTTTAAATATAGAATATGTACTGTCTACAGCTGCTGGTCCTGCCGCCATGGGCCTTTCAGCGGCCAGGAGACCTGCTGCCGCACCTTTTGCTGCTGAAGCTAAAATAGGACTTTCTGCCACAAAATCAGTGTCAGAAGTAAGAACATTCTTCCCAGAAACCTGGCTGTTTGAAATGGAAATGACTGGGTAAGCATTTAAAACAACATATTGATTATCGTAAACCAAGGCAACTGTACTAAAATATTATTAGGTTTGACAAGTATTTTACAATATTAAGCTATAATAATTCTTATAAATATTATTTAAATTACAACCTACTTAATATCCACCTGATGAAATAACTTCGGTACTCAGCTGTATTAGCTTCAGAAACAACTTTTAAAGTCATCCTTCAAAATTTGTTGCTTTCCCGTTTCGGAAACTACGTGACTAAAATTTTGTTGAAAAATTTTGGTAAAATCTCGTGTTTATTTTGTTTATAGTTTACTCGGTTGAAATGTTTCTACGAACCTAAATAACGTGAACTGAAGTAAGAAAAATTAAATTAGACACCAAAAATTGGAATTTATTGCGGCCCAGATAATTCAGCGTTAAATATTAGAAAAATATTAAATTACAAAAGCTTTGCATTTTTATAAAACTGATGTTTCCCTCATAGAGAACGTTTGCGATATTTTCAAAATTATCGTAGAAGCAGCTCGCTGAAAATAGGCATAGCTTGTCCTAACAGTCATGAATGTATGTTGCAAATTCATAGTAAAAATTGCACATTTTTCGCAAAAAAGAGAAAAAAGAACGTGACGACTAAGCCTACGAGAATCAGACTTAATTTGAGGCATTAATTCTTCCAGACCTGATGGCACATACATATCCAAGGAAAAGTTACCAGATACCATCACACAGTGGATTGGAAGTGCGGTCTGTATTAGTTCGGAAGATGGTTTAGGAATTTCCAATACAACATCCATCGATGCATTCCAAGCCTTCTTCATAGATTACACTCTGCCTGCTTCTGTTATTAGAGGGGAAGAATTCGTCCTGGTCGTTTCCATCTTCAGTTACGCAGATGGAGCATTGCCAGTAAGTATTTTTTTCTTTCTCAAATACATATTTTAACCCCTTAACAGTGACATATATTTCAGAAAAATGGATCAAAAATGGAAAATTCCTTATATTATTATAAAATTTAGAAAATAGTTTTTTATTACAAAAATAAAATTTCTAGTGCAATAACTACTGTATTTATAATTTCTGCATGCACATAAAAAAGTAATAGATTACACTAAACACACATCTTATTCAATTAGAGCAAGCTAAACAAAATTTTGAGGCTAAATATAATATAACTAGTATAATATAATATAAAAATACAATGATATGATTTTCAAAACATAAATTTTACAAATATTTTACAGTATGGTATATTCCAAACACGGTACTGCACACAAGCGCATATCGCACTTTTTGCTATAAACTTGGGTCTCACGTCTTTTCCTTTTCCCTTTTTCATCGGTTTTACTACAATATATAAAACACTGTCTGATTCGAATAGACAGAACTCGTAATCGGTAAAAAACTAGGATCACTAATGCCATCTCCTAGGAAAATAGTGAACTAAATATCATACAATAGAAATGAACTGGGCTTGGGCTTCACAAAATAGAAACGTTAATTTTTCTCCTGCCCGAACTCAGTTCAGGCATCACAAATACTGCACGTAGTAGTCACCTAAACTGGATTCGGGCGAAACTGGCAAGAGGTTAAACACAAATTAGATCAATTTATAAAATGCATAAATATTTATGAAAATGTGTGAATATTTACTTATCATAAATGAAACCACGTAGTTTAAAATTTTAAAATGACCAGTAAATCCCTCAATGGTGATATCTTAAAACGTACATCTGAATGTACAGTAAGCAAAAAAAAAAAAAAAAAAAAAAAAAAAAAAAAAAAAAAAAAANAAAAAAAAAGCGGATCACTCTGAATTAATTTTGATATCAGATCGTTACGTTTTAGGACTCAATCTTAATAGTTCGAGACGTGACCTCAAATATGCTAATTAATTTGCGCAGACGTTATTTAAAGTTATAAAATCGTCCTCAAATATGCTCATTAATTTGTGCAGACGATATATTAAGTTATAAAATCGTCCTCAAATATGCTAATTAATTTCTGCAGACGATATTTTAAGTTACAAAATCATACTTTCTCCATATGAACATAACTTTTTTTTTCCACTGATTCGGATTTCTGACCACCGAAATATAGGGGTAACCGCAATCTGAGAAATATGGTCCCCATAGTTTCGTCAGGAGAGCGTTCTCTTCTTCGGCTCACTTAATGTTAATTTCACTTTTTGAGTATTTCCCCATATCTCTAGAACATTTAAAGTGAATTAAAAAATTTTAGCACGCAATTATAAAAATTGTTTATCCAAAGATAATTATATGTAAGGAATAGCTGTTAATAAATATTTATTTTTATTATTTTATTTAATAATTGTGGAATAAAATTTTAATCTTAAGGTACATACTTTCTGAATTATTTTAAAGAATGCAATTTTATATAGTTAAATATATAGTTAAATACATAGTTAAATACAAAATTTGAGCGAAACTCTTCAAATAGTTTCTGATAAATCAATTTTAAAAATTGTCACATTTTTAAAATTCGATTTCTCAGGAACTATTCGACCGATTTGACTTCACTTTTGATATATTGTCAAATCTTGAGATATAATGAAAGATGGAAACAGAATTTTTTTATTGAGGGCTTTAAACATTAGATCGCTCACCTAACCGAACTATTGGGAACATATTTCTCAGAATCTCTTTCCCTATCCTACATACTTTGGGAGTCAGAAATCCGAATCCATCCGGAGAAATTTTGGTTTATTCAGAGAAAGTGAGATTTTATGTCTTATTTCGTAACTTAAAATACCATCAGCAGAAATTAATTAGCATATTTGAGGTTACTTCCTCAAACCATTCAAATTAAGTCCTAGAACGTGAAGATACGATCATTAGATTTAAAGTTTTTCAGGGTGGCCCCTTTTTGTTTTTCTTTCTTGTTCTCTACGTTTATGCTTAAATTGTAGAGCTTAGGGAGGTTCAAAGTGATATTTTTGAAGAAAAACAAATTATAATTTATCAGGGAAAGATCTTATAGTCTTACTTAAATATGCATCATTAATACCCGTTATTGTATTTTGCCACGGTTTTGAAGTCCCTTTGTTATTGGACTCAGTTTGTTCTAGCGAACAACATTTAAATGTTTCGAAGTCATTCTCATCGTCATTCCACGTGTCATTGAGGCATCTTCATTCTTGCAGCTCTTCATCTAGTTTTGTTAGTTGAATTTCGTGTGCACCATTAATCACAGATTATTAAAATAAATTTAGACATTTTGTGGAAAATGGAAGAAAATTATCATGCTCATTTGGGTGCACAAACTAATATTTTAGTATGAATAAACAAAATTTTTCAAATTCTGATAAATTACTATGTAGATCAGCAAAGGAGGATTTAAAATCATCTTATAACAGTGTTTTAGAGAATGAGGGTTAAAAGTAGTTACTGAAGAATTTCAAACACCTTCAAGTTCATCGAAAAGAAATTTTTTAAGCATAGAGCATAATACCAATGCCACCACCATCTACAATACTATCTAAACGAAGCATTGATACTGTTCGATACGTTGTTATAGTCCAGTTACTAAAATTAAGTTTCAACTTATTAGTGCAAAAAGTACTTGTTCCACGATTATCTACGAAATCGGGTGGCAAAAGTACCGCGGATGACTCTTTCTAATTAAGAANATATTGAATATACGTTATAAAAGGGGTCCATTTTTATATAGTACAATGTTTCGCTGCGATATTGTACAATGTTCAGAGCTAAGTTTTTACGATATCGTTTTTGTGAATTGTGCTAATTGGGTAGTTTAAAATTTTGAAATGACCAGTAAATCCCTCAATGGTGATATCTTAAAACGTACATCTAAATGCACAGTAAGCAAAAAAAAAGAAAAAAAAAAAGAACGGATCACTGAATTAATTTTGATATTAGATCGTTACGTTTTAGGACTCAATCTTAATAGTTCGAGACATGACTTCAAATATGCTAATTAATTTGTGCAGACGATATTTTAGGTTATAAAATCGTACTTTCTATATATAAACATAACTTTTTTTTGACGGATTCGAATTTCTGACTGGGAAATATGGTCCCCATAGTTTCGTCAGGACAGCGGTCTCTTCTTTGGCTCACTTAATGTTAATTTCTCTTTTTGCGTATTTCGCCATATCTCTAGAACATTTAAAGTGAATTAAACATTTTTAGCATGCAATTATAAAATCTGTTTATCCAAAGATGTGCAAAAAATAAATTTTAATAAATATTTATTTTAATTATTTTATTTAATAATTGTGGAATAAAATTCTAATCTTAAGGTATATACTTTTTGATTAATTTTAAAGAATGCAATTTTGCATAGCGAAATACAAAATTTGAACGAAACCTTCAAATTGTTTCTGATAAATCGATTTTAAAAATTGTCGTATTTTTAAAATTTGATATCTCAGGAACTATTCGACCGATTTGACTTCACTCAAATTTTGATATATAGTCAAACCTGGAGATATTGTGAAAGATGTAAACGGAATTTTTTTTATTAAGGGCCTTAAACACTAGACCTCTCACCTAACCAAACTATTGGGAACATATTTCTCAGAATCTCTTGCCCTATCCTGCATACTTTGGGAGTCAGAAATCCGAATCCATCCGGAAAAATGTATGTTTATTCATAGAAAGTGCGATTTTATATCTTAATTCGTAACTCAAAATACCATCAGCAGAAATTAATTAGTATATTTGAGGTTACCCCCTCAAACCATTCAAATTAAGTCCTAGAACGTGAAGATCCGATCATTAGATTAAAAGTTTTTCAGGGTGGCCCTCTTTGTTTTCTACGTTTATGCTTAAATTGTAGAGCTAAGGGAGGTTCAAAGTAATATTTTTGAAGAAAAACAAATTATGATTAATCAGGGAAAGATCTTATAGTCTTACTTAAATATGCATCATTTATACCCGTTATTGCATTTTGACACGGTTTTTAAATTTCCCAAGTCACTTTCTTTATTGTACTCTGTTTGTTCTAGCAAACAACATTTAAATGTTTCGAAGTCAAAGGAGGTGCCATTCTCATCGTCATCCACGTGTCATTGAAGCATCTTCATTCTTGCAGCTCTTCATCTAGTTTTGTTAGTTGAGTTTCGTGTGCACCATTAATCACAGATTTTTAAAATAAGTTTAGACATTTTGTAGAAAATGGAAGAAAATTATCATGCTTATTTGGGTATCGATTATCTACGGAGCCGGGTGGCAAAAGTACCGCGGATGACTCTTTCTGATTAAGAATAATCATTGTAATTTAAAAATAACAAAACTTGCACCACAAATTTCAATCGTAATATACATAAAGGATAAAAAAAAATTTGTTTTTCAGTTAACTGTGAAATTGGATGATCCACAAGGATTTGAATTGACCAGTGAGTCTATCAATGGGGATATCTGTCTTCAACCTGATACCAGTGAAAGTTTGAGAGTTAAACTGAAGGCAACAACCGTGGGAAAAATTAACATCACCGTAAAGGCTGAAACTGCGCCATCTAGTGGTGTCTGTGGAAGCTCCACTGTATCAGAAAATATTGCCAAAGACGCCATCACAAAGCCGCTAACAGTTGAGGTAAGTTTAATGAATAAACCAAATAGAAAACAGAACTAGTTTATTATAGGGTCGTAAGAAATTTATTCATTTCAAAATTAATATTCGTGCACTCATCACATCCGATGAAAAGCTTTTAGGTGACATTTAATAGAATTTGAATGATTTTATGGAATTTTAATACGTGGCATAATGAATGAGAATAAATTAAGAGCAATATTGCCATCAAATACATTATAATGTGCGAAATAAATCGATGAAAATATCAAGACTTATTCAAGGTTTTATACGAGTTTGTTACTTGACAAAATGAATGAAAATAAATAATAAAAAAATATATTTCCATCGAATACATAATAATGTGCGAAATAAGTAGATGAGAAAAATCAAGGTTTATACAAAGTCCGTTATTTTAACAAAATTGTCTTCCCGTGCTGTGAATAGGTGATACAAAACATTTGACATTAATTACAATGAAATAGTTAAAAATGATTAATTAGTATCATGCGCTCTTCGCAAAGGTGATATAAAACGGATATCTTTAAATGGAGAATTGGCTTTAATATGAATAAAATAAGTGAGAATTATACAAATAGTATTAATTAACATTTCTACTAACTATTCGATTAACGACTTTGGGTTCCTCAACTTTTGAGTTCAATGGATTAATTTTATCTTTTTTTATTTCTTCCTTTTACTTTTGTACCTGTCACAATTTCTAGAGCTGGTTGTTTATTTAATTAAACAGATTTAACCTTAAGCTAATAGCTAAGAAACCGAAGACGACCATATAAGTGCAGTATTTTAATAAATACAAGTAATTAACGCTTTCATTTCCATATCATCTGCAAAATACCTAAAATATATTCGATCATCGTAATAAGTCTTGCTTGAGCAGTGGTGAATCAGGGGATAGATCTTTTGCCTTCCAATGAGATGAACCGGGTTTGACTCCCAGAGATGGCTGTTCAATACAAATTCCGCATCCGACTTGCACCGACCACAGTGCTGACGTAAAATATCCTCAGTGGTAGGCGAATCATGAGTTAGTCCCTACGAAGCTAGGTGGTTTTCCTCTCTATGTAAAGCAAATGCAGGCTAGTTCCATGAAATAAGTCCTCCACGAAGGCACATTTCTCCCAATACTTGATCCAGGAGTTCCCTTGTCTTCTGGATGGGGTTCAAAATGACTAGCTACGGAGTTGAATATAATTAGCCTATAGATGAAAATTTGATGCCCAAAAAATTTTACGATGGTCATTAAATAAGTCTTTCTTTCTTGTTAATCTCACTTATTTAATCAGTTGGCACTTCTTACACTTTTTTGCCATGCTTTGTTATTTTTCTGTACTATACATTAAATATAACTTACAGGCTGAAGGTTTTCCTGCTGAAAGGATTTATAGCTCTCTGTTTTGCCCATCAGGTAACATATTAAAATTTTAGTTTATTTAAGTTTTAACTTCTTCAATTTAAACAATAAATGTTTGTTCAACCTTTAATATTACTTTGCGCTTTACTTCTTTCAAAATATTTTGTGAAAAATTTTAAATAAAAACTTAATTAGGTGTATTTATTTTCGTAGATTCTGAAAATGGTACTTATGAAAATAGCATTTCTTTGAGTTTGCCAGAAGATATTGTGCCAGATTCTTCCAGAGCATATGTTGACTTCACTGGTAAACCACAATAATTATTTATTAACCATAAATGATGATATTTTTTCTATTGTAACTCATATTTATTGGTCTTTAAAAAAATATTTTTTTTTACATTTTTAAAATACAGAATTTTAAAATACAGATAAATTACAGAAAAACATTGTTTTTACTTACATCGATATTGTTGGTTATTAAATATTAAACACTAGATTAAGAATTGTTGAAAAAGATGTAATTCGCTTCAAAATAAAGTAAACAACATACTAAATGGCTTCTTAATTTAATTAGTTAATAACTTGTTTATAGATTTATCTTTATAGATTGTATGGTATTTCTAGAAAAAACTATCACATATTGTTTTCTTTTTAGGAAATGTTCTGGGCAAAGCTATGGATAATTTAGATCGACTTGTTGCATTACCCACTGGTTGTGGTGAGCAGAACATGGTGAAATTCACTCCTAATTACTTAGTTTTAGATTTCCTGAAAGACGTCGGAATGTTAAGTGAAGAAATTGAAAGGAGAGCTAAGAAAAACCTTATGAAAGGTAATTACGACACATCTTCTTTATCGCCAAATACATTTTGTTATAAATCAAACTGCATTGTTATTGTCAAATACTATTTTTTTATTAAATTTATTGTCTCAAATGCATTTTAGAACTCTTTAACAGATTTGATTCTAGATGGAAAATTCTGATGTGATTTACTGGTATATGGGTGATTCTCTCGAAACATGACAATTCGGACCAAAAAAGTCCTCAAGATTATCTAAATTTTTTTTTGTATATTTCTTTAGCTACACTTATTAATATCTTATAGACAGCAGTGTAGTTTATTGACATTTGCTCGAGAAAAAAAAATAAAATAGAAATTCACCAAATCTTGAATGCCAGGAAAATGACATATTACCTTAGATGTTTAAAAAACAGTTATTTTAAGTTAATAGTAAGTAACTCAACTTAAGCCTTTTTGTTAGATGAACCATAAATTGCTTAAGTTAATTCTTTTTATCCACTGTAGAAAGAAACAAAAAAATTTTTGTTGCTGATATGTGCAGAATAAAATTGCGTATAATAATCAATCATTAAATAAATAAATAACTTTGATTACATCAAGCATATTACAATCATACATAAACTTGGTATTAGGTTAATATTTGCTTTCCCTCTTTACAGTATTAGCAGTTAAAAAGAATTTCTGGTTACACTTCAATGTCCTGGCATTCATAAGCCAGGAAAATGACAGCCAGGATAATGACAAATATGCCATTTTATAGCATATAACTTTACTTTAATTTAATATTTTGACCGACGACGTTTATATTCTGCAGAAAACGACAGTATTTCTTAAAATAACTCAGATAAATCTATGTAGTTTTTGTTTTTAATGATTCCAAGAAGCCAGGAAAATGACAGCATAAAAACCTGCTCACTTTGAAAAATTTTTTAAAATAGATTTTGAGCCAGAAAATTGGTTCTTTATTCATGCAACAAGACATGTTCAGATAGGAGGGTATCTAATCAATCTATTAACATAAGATATTGATTCCTGGTGCTATCTATTTTGGTTATAAATCAGTAAATAAAAGTAGCCAAGAAAATGACAGATTTTCATTGGACAAGCAAATTGACAGAAAAAATTATTTTAAAAGAAGTTTTAGTAAACAATACCCTCTGCGTATATTCTATAAATGCCTACATAGGATAAGATAAAAAAAATTAGATTTTGAAAAATGTATGGGAAGTTTTGAAGCTAGTTATTATTGGAAATAACGTTTGGGACATGCCAGGAAAATGACATTATGATATTCAATTAAATTTTTTAAGTATACAAAAAGTCAATGCTAGTGCAAAGTCATTTTAAAATGCTAACAGCAATGCTATTTATTATTTTTTTAAAAAAAAAGAAGTTATTTTAGTATTATAGTATTAGATCTTGGAGCAAAGGACAGTGAATTGTCATGTTTGGTGAGAATCACCCATATACCGTAATTCAATTAAACAAAAAACCATTATAAATTTATAATCGAGCGAAAAGTTAGGTAATGTCTTCTATATCTAATACGAAAGTAGCATAATACTACAGTTGAATGCGTTGTGAAAATGAATTTTCTTAAATGTATAATTTTGAAAATTCTTTTGGATTTTTTTTTTTAATTCAACTTTTGGCTCTCTAACGAGATAGCAATTTATCTAGCTATCAGGTAAATGATGAATTAACTTTGTGTAAAGCTTTGAACTCCAATTTTAGTATTCATGTTTAGGTCAATCCAAACTTGCGAAATGTTTTGCTTTTATGAAATTGTAAGCAATCTAGTCATAAATGCGTGAAGAATTTGAAAAAAAAATTATTCTTCAATAAGTTGGAGTTTTTAAATCATAAATAAATGTAAACTGATATCCAGTGCTAAGTAAACAGAGCACAAAAAAAATAGAAACGTAACAAATAGTACAGACGAATAAGTAATTCAATATTTCCGTAAACTTCCCACCAGTTGCTACTAAAAAAGTTTTAAAGTATACTGAGTTCCTGTAATGTTAATTAACGCGTTTTGTAACGTTAATGAAACATTACAAAAGTGATAGAAGAAAATATAAAAAAAAATATGTAATTACAAAACATACATATGTTGCCTGTAAATAATTTAAAAAAAATAAATTTAAAATAAAATAAAATTTTAGATTTTTTTTCTTTTGAATGAGACATTGGAATTTCAACAGAAAAGTGTTGAAAGGGTCATTTTTAAGATAAAATATTTCAGGAAATGTCCGTTAAGTTAAAATATTCCATTCCAGGTCTACTTTTACAAAAAATATCGAATAATCCCTGCTTCACAACAAACTGTTCAGATTTTACGTGTAAAAAGTTTATTAAAAATGGATAACGGGACACTTTTCAGTTTTCACTTCTAATTCGTTTTCTCTTATGAAATATAGATTTCCTTCTTGGCTTTGAATTATTTCTTCCATTTTTGCGGTAAGGAAATTTAAACCCAAATTCTTAGTCAGAAATTCCAATAGCTACACTAAATGTAAATTAAAAATAATTATTCTAGAATGAAAAAACATTATCTGAGTGTTGGGATTTTTAAAATAAATATGGATCTTATGACTCCAAGGCACATTGTTGATATTACTTTTTAATATTTTATTTTCGAGTCAGACAGGGTTTATAACACCGTCAAGTAGCAATAAGTAGCTTATTTGCGATTGGCGATAAATAGCTTTCTACCACTAGTTGAAATTGAAAAAATCTTCATTCAATAAACCAATCCTGCAGTATAAGCTTCAAAATATGATTACTAGATTATTTAAAAATGTTAAAATAAATATTTTAAGTTTATTTAATGACTAATCACAATAGTTTAAAAAATAGTCTAGACACCGTTAATGTTTTTTCCTGTTATCTCGAATTTAATGTTTATTAATTATTTTATTTCAAAGTTTATCAACGTGAGCTCACGTATCGACATCTTTGGTACTTTAAAAATAGTCTAGACACCGTTAATGTTTTTTCCTGTTATCTCTATTTTGATGTTTATTAATTATTTTATTTCAAAGTTTATCAACGTGAGCTCACGTATCGACATCTTTGGTACTGTAAAAATAGTCTAGACACCGTTAATGTTTTTTCCTGTTATCTCGATTTTAATGCAGGTAAATTATTTCATTTCCAATGTTACCAACGTGAGCTCACGTATCGTCATCTTTGATATTTTAAAAAGTGTCTAGACATCATTTATGTTTTCTCTTGTTATCTCTATTTTATTGAACGTTAATTATTTTATTTTCAAGGCTATCAACGTGAGCTCACGTATCGACATGGCGATGGCTCCTTTAGCGCATTTGGCGATAGAGATAGAGAAGGAAGCATGTTCTTGACCGCCTTTGTTCTACGCTCATTCTCTGAAGCTAAGAGATACATATCGATTGATGACTTCGTATTGAAACACATGCAGGAATGGATTGTGTCTAAACAGCAAGAAAATGGATGCTTCCCTGATATAGGAAAAATAATTGACATGGGTCTTCAGGTAAGGAAACAATAACATCATAACTTGTTTTATTTATTGAATTTATTGGTGAGATTTTGACAGTGGGGGTAAGATTTTAATATAGGAAACTGAAAATTTTGCAACTCAAAAAAGATTTCAGTATGAACTGAATAGTTTAGCAACTCATGATATATTTTAGTATGAACTGTAGAGACTCGTAGAGGCCAAGATTTTAGCATGAACTGTTGAAAAGTTTTGTAACTCAGACCAAGTTTTAGCATGAACTGTTGAAAAGTTTTGCAACTCATATCAAATTTTAACACGAACTGTTGAAAAGTTATGCAACTCAGATCAAATTTTAGCACGAACTGTTGAAAAGTTATGCAACTCAGATCAAATTTTAGCACGAACTGTTGAAAAGTTATGCAACTCAGATCAAATTTTAGCACGAACTGTTGAAAAGTTATGCAACTCAGATCAAATTTTAGCACGAACTGTTGAAAAGTTATGCAACTCAGATCAAATTTTAGCACGAACTGTTGAAAAGTTATGCAACTCAGATCAAATTTTAGCACGAACTGTTGAAAAGTTATGCAACTCAGATCAAATTTTAGCACGAACTGTTGAAAAGTTATGCAACTCAGATCAAATTTTAGCACGAACTGTTGAAAAGTTATGCAACTCAGATCAAATTTTAGCACGAACTGTTGAAAAGTTATGCAACTCAGATCAAATTTTAGCACGAACTGTTGAAAAGTTATGCAACTCAGATCAAATTTTAGCACGAACTGTTGAAAAGTTATGCAACTCAGATCAAATTTTAGCACGAACTGTTGAAAAGTTATGCAACTCAGATCAAATTTTAGCACGAACTGTTGAAAAGTTATGCAACTCAGATCAAATTTTAGCACGAACTGTTGAAAAGTTATGCAACTCAGATCAAATTTTAGCACGAACTGTTGAAAAGTTATGCAACTCAGATCAAATTTTAGCACGAACTGTTGAAAAGTTATGCAACTCAGATCAAATTTTAGCACGAACTGTTGAAAAGTTATGCAACTCAGATCAAATTTTAGCACGAACTGTTGAAAAGTTATGCAACTCAGATCAAATTTTAGCACGAACTGTTGAAAAGTTATGCAACTCAGATCAAATTTTAGCACGAACTGTTGAAAAGTTATGCAACTCAGATCAAATTTTAGCACGAACTGTTGAAAAGTTATGCAACTCAGATCAAATTTTAGCACGAACTGTTGAAAAGTTATGCAACTCAGATCAAATTTTAGCACGAACTGTTGAAAAGTTATGCAACTCAGATCAAATTTTAGCACGAACTGTTGAAAAGTTATGCAACTCAGATCAAATTTTAGCACGAACTGTTGAAAAGTTATGCAACTCAGATCAAATTTTAGCACGAACTGTTGAAAAGTTATGCAACTCAGATCAAATTTTAGCACGAACTGTTGAAAAGTTATGCAACTCAGATCAAATTTTAGCACGAACTGTTGAAAAGTTATGCAACTCAGATCAAATTTTAGCACGAACTGTTGAAAAGTTATGCAACTCAGATCAAATTTTAGCACGAACTGTTGAAAAGTTATGCAACTCAGATCAAATTTTAGCACGAACTGTTGAAAAGTTATGCAACTCAGATCAAATTTTAGCACGAACTGTTGAAAAGTTATGCAACTCAGATCAAATTTTAGCACGAACTGTTGAAAAGTTATGCAACTCAGATCAAATTTTAGCACGAACTGTTGAAAAGTTATGCAACTCAGATCAAATTTTAGCACGAACTGTTGAAAAGTTATGCAACTCAGATCAAATTTTAGCACGAACTGTTGAAAAGTTATGCAACTCAGATCAAATTTTAGCACGAACTGTTGAAAAGTTATGCAACTCAGATCAAATTTTAGCACGAACTGTTGAAAAGTTATGCAACTCAGATCAAATTTTAGCACGAACTGTTGAAAAGTTATGCAACTCAGATCAAATTTTAGCACGAACTGTTGAAAAGTTATGCAACTCAGATCAAATTTTAGCACGAACTGTTGAAAAGTTATGCAACTCAGATCAAATTTTAGCACGAACTGTTGAAAAGTTATGCAACTCAGATCAAATTTTAGCACGAACTGTTGAAAAGTTATGCAACTCAGATCAAATTTTAGCACGAACTGTTGAAAAGTTATGCAACTCAGATCAAATTTTAGCACGAACTGTTGAAAAGTTATGCAACTCAGATCAAATTTTAGCACGAACTGTTGAAAAGTTATGCAACTCAGATCAAATTTTAGCACGAACTGTTGAAAAGTTATGCAACTCAGATCAAATTTTAGCACGAACTGTTGAAAAGTTATGCAACTCAGATCAAATTTTAGCACGAACTGTTGAAAAGTTATGCAACTCAGATCAAATTTTAGCACGAACTGTTGAAAAGTTATGCAACTCAGATCAAATTTTAGCACGAACTGTTGAAAAGTTATGCAACTCAGATCAAATTTTAGCACGAACTGTTGAAAAGTTATGCAACTCAGATCAAATTTTAGCACGAACTGTTGAAAAGTTATGCAACTCAGATCAAATTTTAGCACGAACTGTTGAAAAGTTATGCAACTCAGATCAAATTTTAGCACGAACTGTTGAAAAGTTATGCAACTCAGATCAAATTTTAGCACGAACTGTTGAAAAGTTATGCAACTCAGATCAAATTTTAGCACGAACTGTTGAAAAGTTATGCAACTCAGATCAAATTTTAGCACGAACTGTTGAAAAGTTATGCAACTCAGATCAAATTTTAGCACGAACTGTTGAAAAGTTATGCAACTCAGATCAAATTTTAGCACGAACTGTTGAAAAGTTATGCAACTCAGATCAAATTTTAGCACGAACTGTTGAAAAGTTATGCAACTCAGATCAAATTTTAGCACGAACTGTTGAAAAGTTATGCAACTCAGATCAAATTTTAGCACGAACTGTTGAAAAGTTATGCAACTCAGATCAAATTTTAGCACGAACTGTTGAAAAGTTATGCAACTCAGATCAAATTTTAGCACGAACTGTTGAAAAGTTATGCAACTCAGATCAAATTTTAGCACGAACTGTTGAAAAGTTATGCAACTCAGATCAAATTTTAGCACGAACTGTTGAAAAGTTATGCAACTCAGATCAAATTTTAGCACGAACTGTTGAAAAGTTATGCAACTCAGATCAAATTTTAGCACGAACTGTTGAAAAGTTATGCAACTCAGATCAAATTTTAGCACGAACTGTTGAAAAGTTATGCAACTCAGATCAAATTTTAGCACGAACTGTTGAAAAGTTATGCAACTCAGATCAAATTTTAGCACGAACTGTTGAAAAGTTATGCAACTCAGATCAAATTTTAGCACGAACTGTTGAAAAGTTATGCAACTCAGATCAAATTTTAGCACGAACTGTTGAAAAGTTATGCAACTCAGATCAAATTTTAGCACGAACTGTTGAAAAGTTATGCAACTCAGATCAAATTTTAGCACGAACTGTTGAAAAGTTATGCAACTCAGATCAAATTTTAGCACGAACTGTTGAAAAGTTATGCAACTCAGATCAAATTNGCTGACGTAAAATATACTCAGTGGTGGACGAATCATGAGTTAGTCCCTACGATGCTGGGCTAACCGTGGATGGTTTTCCTTTATATGTAAAACAAATGCTGGTTAGTTCCATCAATAAGTCTTCCACGAAGGCACATTTCTCCAAATACTTGATCCAGGAGTTCCCTTGTCTTCTGGAGGGGGTTCAAAATGACTAGCTACGGAGTTGAATATTAATAGTCGTAAACCCAAATAATTTGACAGTGGTCATTAAATAAGTCTTACTTTCTTGTCATCTCACTTATTTAATAAGTTGGCACTTTTTACACTTTTTTTTGCCACGCTTTGTTATTTTCTGTTCTATACATTAATAAAATATAACTTACAGGCTGAAGGTTTTCCTGCTGAAAGGATTTATAGCTCTCTGTTTTGCCCATCAGGTAACATATTAAAATTTTAGTTTATTTAAGTTTTAACTTCTTCAATTTAAACAATAAATGTTTGTTCAACCTTTAATATTACTTTGCGCTTTACTTCTTTCAAAATATTTTGTGAAAAATTTTAAATAAAAACTTAATTAGGTGTATTTATTTTCGTAGATTCTGAAAATGGTACTTATGAAAATAGCATTTCTTTGAGTTTGCCAGAAGATATTGTGCCAGATTCTTCCAGAGCATATGTTGACTTCACTGGTAAACCACAATAATTATTTATTAACCATAAATGATGATATTTTTTCTAATGTAACTCATGTTTATTAGTCTTAAAAAAAATTTTTTTTTTACATTTTCTAGTGCTCAAAAAAAAATTTTTGGTTTTTGTAATTAGTGTAAAATTTTTTAAATTTAATTTCTTCAGAAAAGAACTTTGAGAGTCGCTGTTAGTTTCCTTGCTATTATGATTTTCTAAGCGTTTATCTTTTTAAAATGTTCCCATTTACAAATGATATTCTTGAGTATATCTAAGATGTAAAAGCCGTGCATCATTTATTGATTACCCATTGGCAAAATAGGTGTTGTAATGGGTTTGATGGCGTCATCGCACTTTTCAACTGTGTTCAAGAGTAATAGTAAACAATGAGCATGCGTCGTTATTGCATGCGTCCGATGTTTTTAGCGACCGCTGCTGTTTGATAATTTTTTTAGAATTATTTTTTTCTTTTTCTTTTTACCAGTAGTGCTCCTTAATGTATTTACATAACAATAGTTTAAAGTATTTTTATATTCTTTTTATTATTGACTTATAATTACTAATTTGACTGTGATTTTAATATAAATATGAATATTGGAGAGGGAAAAGTTGTTTGTAACGTCTTGAAACACGTATATTGGCAGGATTTAAAAACCAATTCGACGACAAACATCAATTGAAACAGTTTTTGGTACTCATGATTTGAAATGTTGTGACGTTTATCAGAGTCAATCCAGAAAAGAAAAAAAGCATTTGGCCAATGGGCAACCAGTGATC